CGTACATTATGGTCTTTTGAACGTCTCGAAGTGTTATTTTATAGGAACATTTCAGTGACAGGGTTTGTTCTCGTTTTAAAATGTGGCTATTTGCTGATGATGTGTTTGAAGAACGGAGATAGTGAATGAACATGAAATTTGTACTTGTGACCTCTGTGCAAGACAGTTTTTATACTACTGTGAGTAAAATTATTTTCTGTTCAGGAGTCCTGGAAAAAGTCACTGTATTATTTGAATCCCAGATTTTCCATCAAAGCATAACTTGGAAGGGATTTAAGGGATTCACAGGCCTTCTGCTGGCCCTCAGTCTAGCATTTTGAGGACAAAGAAGTAAATTGGAACTTACAATAGTAGCTTTGCTGTATTATTATTTTTTTTTTAATAGCTAAAGGGGCCTGTTTCTCATTTTCATTCAATTTTTGGTTTTGGAATGAATTCATTGAATTGAAAAAAGGCAGGAAATACCTGGTAGTTTGTATTGTTTCGTCCAGTGTATTATCCCAAATCAGGTTTTCTACAGTATGTTATTGATTGCTGTGTCTGGTCTGGTTTTGAAATGCTTCAAACCACGAGGCTTTTATCATTATTCTAGGGCTACTATTTCATCTAACAAATTTCACTGACAGGAAGTTTTTCCTGGTAATGCTGATAGCTTTCTTCTCTCAGTTTGTCATAAGTGACTTCATTATTCTTTGGAATATGTGGGTGATCAGTGGACATTTTCAAAAGATTCCCTTCCAAATTGGGAAACAAAGAGAATTTTAAACAATATAGAGGATAGGTAGTGGGGAGAAAAAATTGTCAAGCTGGATATGCTTTCTGATAGAAATGTTTCTGAAGTCTTGTCATGGTTTCGCTGGCATGTGGTTAACTTTTTGTGAGCAGCTGGTGCAATGCTATGTTTTAGATCTGGGATGGGAATAGTGTGGTAGGGCGCTGGTGTTTTTGATTCTTGCTAAGCTCTCTAGGCCTTTTCTGGTCCTTACTCTGTGCTGCCAGCAAGCAGGCTGAGAGGGCTGAAGAAGGAGGAGATGACACAGCTGAGACAGCTGAGCCCAACTGACCAAAGGGCTATTCCATACCATGTGACATCATGCTCAGTATATAAAGCTGGGGAAGAAGAAGGAAGGGGGGGGATGTTTGGAGGTACAGTATTTGTCTTCCCAAGTAACCATTATCACTTATCAATTATCACTTAGTCAGGGGGAAGTCAGACAGATCCTCTTGTTGGCTTGAATGTGATCCTTCCTCCTTTCCCTTCTCTTTCAAAAGTAAGGGCAGAACTGATTTAAATTCAGAACTGTCAAAAGAATTCAGCTGTTAGTTTCTCTGCAGATTTTAGTTTCTTTAAATTTAGAACAATTTATGTGTGTTGTTTTTGCTAATATTTTTTAAGATCATGACTGTTACTGCTTCAAGAGAGCAAATTAGGTGACGTATGGATTGAGAAACTATAGGTATCAGTAGTTATGTTGGACATCTGAAGGTGGATCTTACTGGCCCTGAGGGACTGTGCTTGAGGCCAGCAACGTAATGTTTGATTAACCTCTCCCCCTCCAATTTATGTGGCATAGCTTCATTATGCACATTGTTACACTGCTGCAGCATGCATTTCACAACTGCTTTACATTGCTTAGACTTTTTTTTCTTTTTGAATTTTTCTTCACTTGCAGTCATGAACCTAGTATCACATTGCAGTTGTGAATGTTTCATCAAATGTAATGTTTAATATTCTATAACCCAATAACTCTGCAATGGTCTTAATCAGAAAAAATATTCTGACTGCAGTTTATGGCGGATTTCTTATGAAAAGGGATAATGCTTCTAGCTGTGTCTAGAGTTGGTAAATGGTACATAAATAGTATGAATGTATTTGATTTCTTATTAGCTTGTTTAATCTGTCTAGCTTTTCAACTGTGACAATAGCTCAGCTGTCCAGAAAGTATATAAACTAATAAAATAAGTTCATCAGCTCTTGTATACTGTCTAATTATAATGGCATAACTATGTGTCATAGGTCTTTTGATGCTAAACGTTATATTATTTTATTTGGAGAATTCAGAACCTATATTTTGGAGAAGAAGGATCTGATTTATATCCCAGAAGGATGACCGCAGTTGTATTCAAGACAGGCATGGGCTTGTGCAAGAATATAATGTTTATTCAGAGCTTATTGGCTGTATGAATATGTTGCTAATCATACCAGTTGATGATACCTTTTGTCTCTGTGTTGATCTGGCTGAGAAAAGTGTACGGCTTCCAGAAGCTCTTTCTCACTTCTCATACATAGAGGCTGCTGATGTACACAGGGTCCTCAGTCCCTATTTTTACTCTGTAGGTCTCCACATGTTTGGCTGCATATTTTGCTAATACACACATACCCTAAAATACATTAGTATTCTTTTGTGTCTTGTCGGTCCTTAATATCAGACTTGTCAGTTCTTAGTATAAAACAGGAAGTCCATCCTGTTTAACCACTACAGTAACAAAAGCTTGAAGCTTTTTGAGCTAGTCACCTAGTTCTTCCTGCAAAGTAGGGTGACAGTAAAAATATCTTCAAATAGTGGGTGACCATTTTACCTGTCAAGAATTTAGAAGAGGGTTTTCTGTGTGATACCGCTTCATTTCCACAGCTTGAAAAATAGAGTGTGTAGGAAGAAGAGATTGCCCATATGTACTGCTGTTTCCAAATACTGTCTTAGGAAAGTACTTGCTAAAAAGGAAGAATACAGATGTCTTATCAAGAGACCTGGGATTTAGGAATTATTCAGAGGATCCATCTGTGGTCTGAGCATAAAGTCTGTTTGCTAGATTGCTCTGGTCTGGTGCAATTTACTTTCTATGAATGTTGACTTTTATGAGTGTGGCCTTTAGGTTATGCCCAGATTCCCATCCCTTTCTATGTGTCATAGTAACTGCAGCACAGAGCTGTCCCTGTGGATTAATAACTCTTTGGTGGGTGGCTCAACATAGTAACCCCAAGGGCATCATTAAAACTCTCCACAAGAATTACTTCAATGCCTGTAACATATAATTATGCTTTAGAAATGCTCTGCAGTGTTTCTTATTTTTACAAAGTAGATTTTTCAAATTAAACCCAAGAAACTCTGTTAAATGAGCATTTGTTTTTCATAAAGAGCATGTGGTGTGAAGTTCATTTGAATTGATTGTCCTATAACTGCTCCATATTTCACAATGGGACTTTTAAAATAAGGAGTCCTACATTTTTATTTTGGCCCTGATTAGTAAACTTTTTGCCATGTTGTAGGAAAAAAAACCCACTATTCAGCATGGGTTCAGAAATCCAGACTTCCATGCACATACCTGTTCTGATTTGTAATCAGCTCCTAGGTCCAGTCTTTACTGTTGAAATTTCATTTGATGATTATCCTAATTCTGCCGGCTGCTCCGTGCTCCACGGACCTGCCTGGTAGGGCAGTCAGAAGCACTAACAGTTGTCTTAACTTTGCTCTTGTTGTCCAAGGAGTTGTTAAAAGTCTGCAAGATGTCATAAGTTGTCATTGAAGGACTCAGTTCTGTTTCTGAATACTTCCCTGTTTTCAATGAGGGCCCAATTAGCCACTGTTGATGTATAAAATAAACACAAGAGAAGTTATTCTAGTCTTCTGTGAATGCACTGGCAAAATGTTTTTCCAGTTTGTCTTTCAAGACCAAAGGAATCCCCTAAGGGAACAAACCCTGCTTGAACATCTGTATTTAATCTTTAATCTCAGGACCTAAAAAATTCTGGCAGTTAAATATCACTGGCGTACTGCTGTTTGTTAGTCTGATCCCAATAAAAAATACTCTCTTGCAAAATTTCCCCACCCAGTCAGATTGCTCAGATAGGGAGGAAATCAAATTGGTAATAAGCTAAGTCAAGAGCCCACTATAGTTGTTTAACACTGAAAGCAGCAGTGCCTAAGGAAATCAGCTCAAATAAGGTGTTTTGCTATGATACAGGGTCTCAGTTATAGGATCTGTCAGTGCATCTCATCACGTGGTCCTGGATGGATGGGATTCTAGCAGTGGTGCTCATGGACAGCCGAGAGGTCTGTGGGTGCTGGCCCTGGGCGGACTCACAGACGGTATCAGTATCAGCTCTGACAAGAACTGCCAAGGCTCACTTTGATACTTGACAACATGGGTGTTTGCTGTAATGGTTGTGAGATTTGCACATGGGGCACGTGTTTGGGCTGATAATCATTATAAACAGGGTGATACCAAGATACTGAGGCAGAAAATACAAGAACTACTCAAATTTTGGACCAGATCATCACTGTACTATGATTAAAATCAAAATCCTTTCTTGTTCTTGATAAGAAGGTACACTTTCAGTTAGATATGTGAATAAATATGTGCACTTGAACTGCTTAAGATACCAATTGATTTTGTGAGCATGGTTCTCATGTAAGCACAGTTACTTGACTTCTAGACATGTAAGTGTTGGGGAATAGGGAGGAGTTTCCGCTTTTAATTCTAAAAGCGTACATCTAAAATAGCTCTACTGAGTATGTGCAGTTACTATGGGGTTTACAGTGGTGTCGCAAAGAGGAGACTCTCGTCGTATGTGTTGATGTTTGCAGTGCCAGATGAAGGCACAAATGTTATGTGCCATTTTGTGAAGCATTCAGAGAGCATTTAAACAAAGTTTTAAAATAAAACCTGAGGTGTAACCTTACTTACTGTCTTGGTTTTTTGGGGTATTTTCAGCTCTTGGTTTATTTTATTAAGTTTTCTGTATATTGCATAAGCTTTTGAGATAATTAATTCTTCAGTGTTGAGGAACAGGTGATAGATACTCTGTGCACTTAAAGTTTGAACTGCGTATTCAGTTTTATGCCAAAGATTGCAAAATACATCTATATGATGCACATGGAAGCTCTGAGTGTGAGAGAAAAAGTCAATGTGTAAAATAAGTCAATATTAGATCTAATGAAATTCATATTTTTCTTGGATAGTGCGTTATGTTATCTGATCTGGTGTGATTCTCCTTGCAGAGGAAGAGGGGAAGACAATTCAAGGAAGTAAAGTAGACTCCCTAAGAAAAAAATTTTCTCTTTCTGAATTATCACACAGAAATAAACAACATGGCTCACCTGGAAGAAGCAAAGAAATGTGGATGTCTCCTCCACCACAGATACCAAATGAGAATGAGGTAATGAGTTAACATTTGTCCATGTGGACAAGCACCACATTCAAACAGATGAAAATATGGGGAGATATACTGTCCAAATGTTAGAAGCTAGTGGTATTTATCCCATCTGAGGCAAATATTTAAAATACTACCTAAGTGTGTAATGCTTACAGAGGCACCTGCAGGGATCATGTTTGGCGGTGGCATTTGCTCTACTGAAGAGCTGTCATAATCTGACTAATAAGTAAGGCACCCTGTGCAATGGTTTCACTGAAGACTGCAGTTAACAGTAGAGGTTGGCAAAAACGAAAAATGTCTTGAGAGTATGGATGCCAGCATGCATAGATTTATTTTGTTTCTTGGGGATTTTAGCAAGTACTGAATTCTGTGTTACTGAAGCTAGATTGTTTCAGCTACATTGAGTAAACAGTAGGAAGGCAGAAGCATTTTTAATCTTCTGAAACATGAGATTAGGGATTTAATGTGTAGGGCCAGGAAAACAACAGACATCATCTGGAGAGAGCGAGATGGAAATACGAGTCCACTTGTTAAGAACTTCTGCCCTCCTGCCTGAATAACAAATAACTGAGCTGTGATCTAGTCTGTACTCAAAAATTCCCTTCATTAAACTTCTTATTGAAAAAGAAGTAGCAGGTCATTTTGTGCAATACCCAGAGCAACACACTTAAGTGCCTTCAAATGATGGGCCTGCCAGGCCTCAGTCAAAGAGCACAAGCTGTCATCATCCTCCCTATTAGCTCATGCTTTTGAGGTAGAATCAAACAAGGCTTTTAAAACAATCACATTCTGTCAGTTGATTTTATAATAATAATAATGACAAGAATCTTTTTGCCATTTTTCTCATAAAGAATGTGGTTGCCTCATTGGGATAGAATCCCTTTGGGTGTCTTACTTTAGCCACTTTGAATTGGCTTTCTGCCCCATAAAGCAATGTGTAACTTCCTTTATCCTTTATTTAATGGAACATTTTAATACTCGTTGCTACACAAAAAAGGTTTCAGGCATGGCTGCACATTTTTGTCACATTAGCAGTTTAAGAAACAAATACAGTAATAGTAGAATGCATCAGAAAAATTGCTAGTGTTGTAGCAGGAGGAGTCTGTAATGCAGTAAGTTGGCCACTGTAACCTTTAAGCCTGCCCCGTGGAAAGGAAAGAGAGTAAAAGCTGCTATTGAAAACAATGCTTCTGTTCTAAATGCTGCTTTTTAGGCATGTTAATGATTACTTGCACTGTTGTGCCAATTGGTTAAGTCTGGTCCTGTGTAGGTTTTCAGAGGATTACCTGCATACGTTCTATTTTCAAGAGCAATACATTCAATTAAAAAAACAATAATAAATTAAATACACTGAATCTGTATGTGTAAATCAGGAAGAGCTTTGGCTGTGATTTTGGTTCTGTTTCATGCATATAAATATTTCTGCCTATCAATTGACAGATAGTGATGAATGAGAGCTGGAAAGCTGATGGCTCTGATGGAAATGATTTCAGTCTGTCTGAAAGAGTAAAGGTGAGGTTTTCGTTTATTTTCTTCAAAGTGGGGATTATGAGTAGGACATGACTGATTTTTTACTTTATTTATTTACAAAGTACTTACAATTTGTTGATGTATTTCTTTCCCATTTGTGGGAAAGAGGGATGAGAGCATCAGCATCCAAATTTTTTTTCAAATGTTAATGAGTATGTACTTTTAAAGTGTAAAGGTTATGTAAGTGTTGAAGAGAATGGTGTCAAATCAGGTTGGAAAATTTTCTAAAAGCATCTCTAATTACTGAGTGGAAACACAGAAGACTACCCAGTGCATGTAGTAAATCCTTCATGGTAACATTATTTGCACCTAGGCTGGAAAAGGCCTTTCACTCTCACCATATAAATCTATTCAGAGTGCTACCTGAAATAAGAAACATGTTTTCTTGCGGTATGTTTTAGATAGTTGATACCATTTTGAAGAGTCATCAGCCTGAAAAAACAGTAGTGCAATGTCCCAGATGAAATACTAAAAATTTAATAGTTCTTAGCTTTTTTATTTTCCATTCAGTTCACCATTGGTATCAAAACAGAAGGATCAAGCTCTACTTTGCTTACAGCGTGTACTGTCTCTGTGCCATATGCAGTGAGCTCATAGAACTGAAGAATAACTTACCATGTACCTTTTTCCTATCAACATATTTTACTTCTCCATCTTCCCACTAAGTTCCTTAAGAAGTTGCTGTACAGCTTGAGCTTCTTTCCCATCACTGTAGATGATATGCAGTAATTGCGGCAGCAATTCTTTGCCTAGTCTTGAAAGTATTTCCTTTTGGTTACACATTTCAAAGAAAAGTCATATGCTTTCTTGGAAAAATGCAGGGGGGAAAGGAGAGGATGAAGGAGACAATGTAATGCTTTTTGGCTTTGCTGTAGATTATACTATAAGAAATTGAATTAATACATTTTAATCTATTTTCCAATTTGGGGTTTTTATGGCAGGTGGAGAAGTACTTAGATTTGGAAGATGCAGACACAGATGAAGAGACATGCAGCGGTAGGTTTCCCACCCCCTTCATATTCACTATTATTGTCTGTCTTTGGCTGCAAGTGTATGGACATTTTCTAAAGCAGTGTTTCTCCTCTAAAAAAGATGTTCTTCCTCAGTTCTTCTGTTGCTAGAAAATTCCCCAAATTGCCCAAATTAAAGTACTAATTTCTTCACTCTGAGAGGTAATGAGATAATAAATTATAAGGAGTATTTATTATACTGGGTCCTGGTGAGCAGTTTTTTTTTTTTTCAAGATTTTTTCAGAATTACATAACATTTCTAGTTAGCAATGTTTCTACATTTTTCTGCACTTCTATTTTGTATTGAAATTATTTTGATTACAGAAGTTTCTCCACAAAGCAATGTGGGTGCTAAGAGAGAGTTCTGTAAAGTGGAAATATTTAATGGAAATGTCTCTACCTATTAAAAAGATTTCATCCTGGGCTTAAAATAGGTGAGACTAATTTTTAGTTCACGGTGAACTTCTTTAAGAATTCCAATTATGAGTGTTTTGAGTTGTGTTGAACTGTTTCATACATCTATAATAATTTTAACTCTGCCACCTCCAAAAAGTAAATAGGAACCTAGTGTCCGTAGTTATTTGCCTATCACAGGTGCTTCTGTGGTCTTTATTACCACAAGAATTGATGAACTTTTAGTGATTAAATTTATTTTCCTCATCTATACCTGTGACTGCACAAAGAAGCCAAGTCATACAGATAAGGGATTTTCCTAAGGTCACTGAAACAAACTGTTACAGAGCAGGACTTTGGTCCTCAGTTCCTTGATTATTGCTGTTTGATTAGTCTGTCTCTAATCCATTAAAGATTTGATTAGTCTTTGCTTTCTGTATGTGCAGAATTCCTATGAATTCTGAGGGCTTAGAGACTTCCAGTTGATGAATACTTGAAGCTTGGCTGTAACTCTTAAGAAAATAATAAACCAACATAAGTCAGGTTTATAGCAAATATTCTTTCTCCAACCTGGGCATTTCAGGAGGCGGGGAGTAAGATAAGCAGTCCTATATCAGGTACAGACATCAAAGATTTCTTTTGAGTGCAGTGTTCATATGTGCCCATTTTTCCCTTTGTAGGACATTGTTCTGTGTTTATGTCTTAAATTCTGGTAATATCTATTAAAATGGGTTCACTGGTGGAAGCCTAAACTCATATTTCACTAGTATCATAATGAAATGAGAATTGTCTATATCTAGTTCATGGAAGTATTGTTAGATATCTCTAGTTCAAAACAGGCCACAAATTGGATGATGAGAAATATGCCCAACAATAAAATACCAAGCAGGCCAGTGAGGAAAGAAGAATTCAGCCAGAGCTTGAGGATAGTTCACCACTTTCTGGACCGTGCCAGACCTTGCCTCTCTCCAGGTTTTTCTATGTATTTGTGTGTATGCAAGACTAAATGTTAATGACATACATTTAGAAACTCCTATTAAAACAGACTGCATTTGAATATGGTGAGAATTACAAAAATGATCATCTGCTGGTACTGTCTGAATAGCACTTTATGCAAGCCACATTGGGAAAACCTTTCAGTTAGTGCTTTTATCAGTGATTATATAAACAATAAACATAACATTATACCAGCACTACTGTCGATTGTCAGTGTATTAACTACTCGCTTTTTACGTGACATTTGATTTGGCTTTCAGTCTCTGCTCTCCTTGGCTCTTCCCATAAGACAGCACTCCCTGCAGACTGCCTCAGTGCAGAAAGAAGTCCGATCAACTCCTAAGTAATCAACAGTGCTCACTAACAACATTAAGCATTTGGATTGTATTTTATAACGTCACAACACTGCATAGCCAGAAGCTAATTATTCCTTCTAAACTGTGTAAGGAAAGTGAAAAGCATCCAAATTTATATCTGGGAAACCCACAGTCTGGGTCTTGCCCAGGGTTTCTTCAGTGGAGATAGTTGTTGAGTCAAGATGAAAAATTTCCCCAAAGTGCAGAAAATAGGACTTATAGTTTGATAGATGTCATACATGTCAAAATCCACTTGATAGACTTCATAATAAGAGAGGTATAATCTTACTCCTGTGGAAACAATAACAACAAAATGCAAATTAAAATATAAAATGGTGTTGCTTCTATTGTTTGTAATAATAAAGTGATATAAAATAATATCCCTATTGACCACCTTAATAAAGGATTAATTCTCAAGAATTCCAGTTAGTTTATAAGTGAGGCAAAGTGTGACACAAATTTGAAAGACATTTTGTTGCTGGCCTTTTAAAATGCTGCCACCTGTATGTCAGAACAAATGATGGATTTAAGACTTCATAATGGCAAAACAAGCTAGGACACCCAGTGAAAAACGTCATACTTCGCTAGTATAATCACAACAAGCTTTATCTCTGCTTGTTATTGGCAACAGTTCAGTATCTGTCAACTTCATTTAGCTTTAAAGGGCAGATCAGTTAGCTGAGTTAGCAACTGTACATTAATACAATAAATATTCACCCTTAAGGGGAAGTGGCTCAAAGCTGACAGTGTGAAAAGCATGATAGAAAATAGGTGTTAAAACGTCCTATCTAAATCAATGCTTTTTGAGAGATGTCCTGTAAGAATCACTCTAGTGTTTTTTTTTTTTTCTTTTTTTTTCTTTCAGCTTATTTTTCTAAGTCCAGTGTCTTTTAAGGTGTGAATAAATACAGCTGCTTCTTACAAAAAAAAAAAAAAAAAAGCACATAGATTTGGCCAGTATACAAATTCATTGTAGCTGTTTTCATTAGACAGCACTGGGCTAAACGCCTGAAACCAGGGAAATGCTTTGCATTGTGGGACTTTGGCACAGTAAACATTATTGGCAAAGTAAAATTGCTGCCCTAAACCATAGCTTTAATGCATCATGTAGAGACAGCATGTGTATGGTGGACTGTTTAATCGCTCTTTCTCACTGAATTTAATCTGTAACTGTAAGTAGCTTAAGGCAACAATAGACATGATCAGGCTTTCTCCAGGGATGGATGGAGAATGCCTAGTACCTATGGTTTGGTAACAGAATTCCTTTCCAGGACTGGTGGTTGCTGCAGGGCTCGAAGGATAGTTAGGTAATAATAGGTAATATTTGTATAAAGTACAAAATACATAAAAAGCATATCTAGAGACCTTCAGTATGCTATTTTTTAAATACAAGAGAAAATTAAAATAGGACTAATTAGATGTACAGGTAAGGCTGCATAGGCAAGGATATCAGAGTCTCATCCTAATCTGGCTTGGAGCCCTGAGGTACTATAAACTTGTCTTTTCAAAGTCCCAGTTCTCTGTAACCCCACAGAGGTTGAGGAGAACCCAAGTGACTCAGTTACTTTGAAGCTGAGGCCAAACATAACTATTTGATTATTTAAATAATTCTTTAGGCAAATATCAGTAGTCTATGCCTTTCCATTTATATTTTGAGACTATATTTATGTCCAGAAAAATCAGGTTGAGGAAGAGGATTCAGAGTGAAATTCTGGGGATTTTTTCAAGTATGGGGCTCCCCCCAGCTGGTAAATCTCTTTCTTTTTTTTCTGCTCCAGTCCCTGCAATCCATTTAACACTGCCTCAAGATGATTTCACACTAGTCAGCTCTTTGGGACTAGCAGCCTGAAGCCTGAGAACCAGGGGAGACAGCAAAATTTAGCTTTTAAGCTTTTTTCGTTTTCGTTCTCACTACCTCCCTCCTCAGCTCCCCATCAACAGGATTTTTGTGAATTGTGTCTGAAAGTGGTAAAACCTGTGTTAGTGTATCTATAGCTGGGCATCATTTGGCTACAGTAAAGTTAATGATTTAGGCAAGACTTTGAACTTCTTCACTCTTGAAAGTTCAAATCAGGTTTGTGCCAATAGATTATTTTTTTCTGTTCTTATAATTAATGTCAATGGTACACAGCGAGCAAAAAAGCCCTGACTCAGCAGTGTTCAAAGATGTAGTAATTATCGTGTGTGTGTGTGGGGAAGGTACTAAAGAGAAGACAACTGCTCAGTTTCCAAATATGCCCTCATTAAAGTGCGCTGGACTTGAGTAAAATCATCTGAGTTCACTGCCTTATAATCCAGAAAGTTGATTCTTCATGGTATGAGGAGAGGTACATTTCAAAATCTCTTCTCAGATTTTTTATATTACCTCCTGCTCAGTTATCTCTATAAATGATGCCATTGGCAGTATCCAAGGCTTTCCTGTTGCTAATTAATCACCTCCACAGAGAACATAATTAGCAGCTTAATTAGGATCATCATCCACTAGTGCTGTAGCATCAGCCTAAACCAGCTGTGAGGTACTGGCTAGAACTTACAATAGCCTACAGTTCCTTTGGGAGCTCCCACTGAGGAGGACTGTCAAAACTCCCTAATTTTTCTCTCTGAAGGAGTTTCTTGATTAAACATTATCAGGGAAAGCAGCATTTACCGATTAGACTTTCATGTGCTGTCACACAGCCAGGATAGAGAGACAAAGCTCATTTCTGGCATGTCTACTGGCAAACAAAGGTTGATTACCACATTCTTATGGGGTGAATGATGGGAATTTGAAACATTGTTTGCATTACTAATGAGCCTTAAAATAGTGGAATTGACATTCTGAGTATGACAAGCACTTCTTGCTAAAAGCAAAAATAAATTTCCTTCTGTTGTCCTGATTTTTAAGAGTTGTCTTTCTGAACCATTGCCAGACTGTTGCATAAGTGTGCTTCCTCCTCATCTTCTCTCCGAAGATTGGTCTGTTGGATGGGGGGAGTTCTTAGTACAGAAATAGTCAGTGTTTATATCAAGGGGTGGTACAAACCTCCTGATGTCCAGGCTTTCCTTCCTTCAGTGAGGGTATATATTTAGGGTGCAAGTTTGAAACAATAGCAGAAGATGCCATTGCCTTTAAATGAGCATTCACATCTTCCTTCTGTCCTACAAATAGTTTTGACCGAAGTTATGAAAGGTGGAAGAAAGCAGTTGCAGAGCATGTGAAGACATAGCATGTATACCTGTGGACTGCACTGTTCTTTTCAGAAAACTTTCTCATATAACTGATGCAGAATAAGATCAGATGCTATGCTGAGAGTACTGAAAGCACATAGAGGTAGATACACGCAGCCCAAGAGAAAGGGGATGAAAACTGGAAAACACTTATATGTGAGTCATGAACCAAAAGACAAAAAAAAAAAAAAAAAAAGGAATGAGATACCCAAGGGAATGAATTCAGCTCTTTTTTAAAGAACATTCTACTTTACAAGTCCAAAGCCCTGCTGGCTTTGAAATAGTACACAATTCCCAAAAGAAAACTAATTGAAGAATTCAATCGTGGATTTTTTTATGAAGGCGTAGCTAGGAAATCAGTATTTTCAAATGCAGATTTACAGGAGAATGAGAGGTCTGTAACTCCACTACTCTGGTAAAAGTGTGCTCGTGGAGATAAATAGCCACTTCTTCCTTTTCATCCTGGATCTATGTACCCTCTTGTTGGTTCCGTTAACTAACATTTAAGCAATGCTTTGAAAATCTATTCTGAGCTTTCAAGAGGAAATCAAGCTACTAAAATATAGTATAAAGCTGTAAAGAAACTTGTGTATCCGTCAGAAAAAAAGAGTAGGTAGATTTACATAATCCTTTGGCTAAATTGCGAGACATATGGTCCCCTTAAGTTCCTTCATAAAAACATTACTGAGACAAGATGGACGCATCTGTGCTGTAGCAGAGCTGAGATTGATTCATACTAAAAGATATTTCTAAACCTAAGGCATATCATTCTCAGCTGTCACAGAAAGCAAACCCACTGTTTCCAGTATGAACGTTTTGCTTAAGTATGTAAAGGAAAAATGATTCAGAAAATCTGTGCATTTGTGAACTGGACCAAATCCTGCCCATTTGGAAAGGCTACATGTTCCTGCGTCCCAGATATAGGGACGTCCTTTCAAGTACCACTTTTTGGAAAGCTCAGGGAGGAACAAACATCTGTGAAATATCCTTGGACAAGAGAGTCATCTAGCACTGTAGTGGGGAATATTAGTAATTCTACCAGCTATTTTTACTTAATGTTTCGGGAAAGTCATGTTAAGATGCTTTGGAAAGATTCTTTATGCCCAATGTACAGGTGCTGAAACTCTAGCAAAAGAGAACTGAATGACAGAGCCCAACTAATCGATGGCAAGATCAGGATTCAGTCTGGTATTTTGTAACTTCTACTGCAGACATCTCTGCTCAGGACCTTCCTTCTTTTCTATGAAAGAGATGAATCTAATTCCAGATGTTCTTTGAATTTAGGAGCATCTACATCCAGATTTTTAACTCAGGGTCCTCAAGAAAGAAGAGCTACCTGTCTATTTTCAACCAAGTTTGATTTTTCCTTAGTACAGTATATTTTGTTACCTACATTTTAGCTCAGGACTGCATGGATCTGTTTTAAAGATAGCTGCCTATATTATATATTATGCAACAATAAGTACAGCACACTTTGACTAACATGCTTCTGCCTGTGTTTGAGCACCACAGGATTTTATACAGGGTTTTGCTAATTTATACATGGAATGGAAGGGTAAAGTTGATTATTTTTTATTCAGCAGGGGCGTTAGTTCTCCCAGGAGAGGTGGAACAGACAGTGACTTACTGTACATCCTTTGTTGATAAGCCTATTCAACTGAAGCCCAGAACTTTGTCAGTTCCACAGCCATTGGACAGCAAAGCCCAAGAGGTATGAGGTCAGATTTATTTATTTAAACACTAGGGGCTTGGGGTGGGTTTTTTTACCTATTGGCTTCTAACGTTATTTCCTCAAGAACAGAAGGATATAGATGGACTCTGTGAAACTGCTATGAGTTAACAAATCGCATTATTAATTTTTAAATTATTCGTGAATTCTTAAATACATTAAGAATTGAGATGAACACTAATAGAAAGGTACACACTGCTACTATATAGTCCAACATTTTCAAAATGTGTACTTCAGTACTTCAAACTGTATGTGTATTAAAAAAATTTTCATTGGTGTAACTCACAGAATATTGAAGTAAACGCTTGCACTTCCTGACCTTCTAACAAATCATTATTTACATAGAATGATGGACCATTTAATTTTACAGTGATCTCATGATCTTATGACATCCTGCAGTTCTTATTGGACTGAATATAAGAACCATCTTCTGCAACAAGGATGTAGTGAATGATTCCTTTAACATGACATTTAAAAGAAAAAATGGTTTTAGAATATATTGTGATCAGAATTAGGATTTGTCCTCTTGAAGATGAGTAGTAGCAAGATGCTGCTGAGGATCTGCATTGTCTAGGTCTGGTATGGAGAGGTTTGCATTATGGAGTATGAGTCTTAATGAGACAGAGTCAATACAAGTTTTAATTTAGAATTGCCATTTTCCCTCAGAATTTCCGTTCTTTTCAAACTGGAACAGAAGGTGTGGATTGCTCACAGGCTTATTTTAAGTCATTAAGCTTCCTATCCAAGTAGTCAGTGTGAGCATTAACTTTTGGGAATGTTTCTATTGCAGAGAATTCTTCACCACTCTTTTCCCCTGGCTGATCACTGTAACAGAAGCTGAAGTTAGCTTCTGGCTAAAATGGGCCAGTTTTGATTGTTTCATATGCTTATTGATGTCCCATGAGGCTTCAGTCAAGTTTATAAATGATACATGACCAGGATTGATGTTATAGCAGTGCATATGATGCCTCCTTTTCTGAGCTCAATTGTGTTTAGTTCTTTGCAGTAAACTCTACTATAAGGAACAAGTCTGCTTTGGGAAAAAGTAGATGTTCTAAAATGACCTTTCAAGCTTTAATACCCACCATTCCGTGAATAAAATACTCCCTCTTTTCCCTAAGGATTGACATAATTTAAGGTTTTTGCCTTGAGAAATATCCATTAGCCCAAAAATCCCCAACTAGAATGAGGTTTTATAGTTTTCTCATTTGATAACTTCTGTATGAAACCAAAGAAGAAGGAGGGTTGTAGCAGCCTGAAGTGTTTGTGTATTACTCTTTAAACTATAATTCATGAGAAATAAATGAAGATCCCATTGCATGCAAAATTCATTTACATTTGAGGAAAAGCTGGGTTATGAAAGAAAAACTAAGTATTATTACATCGGTTAAGGCTTGCTGCATTTTTCAAGAAGAAACACTTATGATTTTCACAACCATTTGGTTGGTGCCAAGCTACTCAAGATGAAGGCAGTCTTTCCCCTAAATTATACACATATTTGTGCCTTCATTTAGATGATATAACTGTGGCCTGATATTTATAACTGTCAGGACTGAACAGGTCCATTTTAAAATCCCTAGGTGCTTCAAATTGTCCATTACCTTGAAAATAAAGTCTTGCCCTGCTTATGGCAGGACTTGTATAGAAAAAGAAAAAGATTTTCCCTGGAAGAGAAGGATAGAATCGTTTTGCTTGGAAAAGAGCTTTAAGATCATCAAGTCCAACCATAAACCTAGCACTGCCAAGTCCACCACTAAATCATGTCCCTAAGTGCCATGTCTACCTGTCTTTTAAACACCTCCAGGGTTGGTGACTCAACCATTTCCCTGGGCAGCCTGTTTCAATGCTTGACAACCTTTCTGTGAATAAATTTTTCCTAATATCTCATCTAAACCTCTCCTGGCACAACTTGAGGCAGTTTCCACTTGTCCTATCACTTGTTACTTGGGAAAAAAGACTGACACTCACCTTGCTACAACCTCCTTTCAGGTCTCTTCTCAGCCTCCTTTTCTCCAGACTAAACAACCCCAGTTCCCTCAGCTTCTCCTCACAGGACTCATTCTCTAGACCCTTCACCAGCTTCGTTGCTCTTCTCTGGACACACTCCAGCCCCTCAATGTCTTTCTTGTAGTGAGAGGCCCAAAACTGAACACAGTATTTGGGGTGCAGCCTCACCAATGCCAAGTACAGGGGATGATCACTTCCCTAGTCCTGCTGGCCACACTATTCCTGATACAAATCAGTATGCCGTTGGCCTTCTTGGCCGCCTGGGCACACTGCCGGTTCACATTCAGCCAGCTGTCAACCAACATCCCCAGCTCCTTTTCTGCTGGTCAGCTTTCCAGTCACTCTTCCCCAAGCCTGTAGCGTTGCATGTGGTTGTTGTGACCCAAGTGCAGGATCTGGCACTTAGGCCTGTAGAATCTCATACAGTTGGCCTCGGCCCATCGATCCAGCCTGTCCAGATCTCTCTGTACAGCCTTTCTACCCTCAAGCAGATCAACAAGCCTGCACAACTTCATGTTGTATGCAAACTTACGGAGGGTGCACTTAATCTCCTCATCAAGATCATTGATAAAGATCTTGAAGAGAACTGGCCGCAATACTGAGCCCTGTGGAACACCACTTGTGACAGGCCACCAACTGGATTTAACTCCATTTGCCACAACTCTTTGGGCACGGCCATCGAGCCAGTTTTTCACCCAGAGAAGAGTACAGCTGTCCAGGCCATGAGCAGCCAGTTTCTCCAGGAGAATGCTTTGGGAAACGGTGTCAAAGGCTTTGCTAAAGTCCAAGTAAACAACATCCACAGCCTTTCCCTCAGCCACTAAGCAGGTCATCTTATCATAGGAGATCAGCTTAATCAAACAGGACCTGCCTGTCATAAACCCATGCTGACTGGGCCTGATCACCTGGGTGTCCTGTACATGCTGTGTGATGGCACTCAGGATGATCTGCTCCATAACCACCTCTGGCACTGAGGTCAGAGTGACAGGCCTGTAGTTCCCCGGGTCCTCCTCCTGGCCCTTCTTGTAGATGGGCATCACGTTTGCTAACTTCCAGTCAACTGGGACCTCCCTGGTTAGCCAGGACTGCTGATAAATGATGGAAAGTGTCTTGGTGAGCACTTCCGCCAGTTCCCTCAGTGCCCTTGGCCCAATAGACTTGTGTGTGTCTAAGTGGTGTACCTAACTGTTTCCCCTTGGATTATGGGGGCTTCATCCTGCTCCACTTCTCTGTCTTCCAGCTCAGGGGGCTGGGTATCCTGGAAACAATTGGTCTTACTATTAAAGACTGAGGCAAAGAAGGCATAAAGTACCTCAACCTTTTCTTCATCCTTTGTCACTATGTTTCCTCCAGCATCCGGTAAAGGATGGATATTCTTATATAGCCTGCCCTTTGTTAACATTTTTATAGAAACATTTTTTATTGTCTTTTACTGCAGTAGCCGGATTAAATTCCAGCCAAAGCTCTCTGTTCAGCCAGATTCTTCCCTGCTGGTTCATCTTTCAGCATATAGGGATGGCCTGCTCCTGCACCTTTAAGATTTCCTTCTTGAAGAATGTCCAGCTTTCCTGGACTCCTTTGCTCTTCAGACTGCCTCCCAAGGGAGTCTGTCAACCAGGCTCCTAAACAGGCCAAAATCTGCCCACCTACAGATGTCCCTGCTTTGAAGTTCGACTATTCTCTGCCCATCAAAACAAATCTGTTAGGGAAGGGAAACAGAATGTGTCTGCCTAGTCAGTTTTCATAGAGAATGGAAAACTATTCTCTATGAAAAATAAACAAGCTTAATAGTGCAATGTAGGATGTCAATTGTCTATGCTATGAACATACTTGTGAAGGACTTCAGGGGAAGGTGTTTATCTCTGAACGTATTGCCAGGGAAAGTTCAAAAAAAGAAGCTCTGCTAAGACCCAACGTATAACTTGGCTAAATGTTAAAGAACAATTTGTCTCCCTGAAAATGTTTTTCTGTCAAAAGCTGTTGGGAAGAGACTTAATGAATGACACAGCAAATTATTTTTGTTATCCACCAATGTTGCTTCATCTTTCTTCCCAGGTTTTAGGCATAAATATATTCCTGGATTTCAGCATCGAAAGTGCAGCATACATGACCTGCCATGGGCCACTGCAGATTGAAACAACATTCACCCCATGGTTGAAGTACATTACCATAGAACATTTACCTTCCCTACCCAGATACTTACACTGTCCTTTATTTCTACTTAATATTTTCTTTCATAAAATAAGTCATAGTTTTTAAATTAACAGTATGTCTTAATGTCTGCTTCCTAGGGTCTTTATTTTTTTTTTATTTCTCCCGCTGCATATGCATGAATTCAATTGAATGCGTATTTTCGATCCACTGACTATAAACATGCATTCAAAGTTGGGTTCATCTCACCTAACTTCAGCTTTAAATTTAGTCTAATTTAGTCATTCTGTCATCAAGAGGGGGAGATAAGCACCTCCAGAAAGTAATTCATCCCACTTGCTGTAGGCATTTGTCCTAAGATGTAATATATCTCCATCCACAGTCTGACTTTCCAGGCTTGGTCTTTTTTGGCTGACTACCTTAATCTAGAAGCCTAATTTTTATATGGCTGGGATTAGGAAAGGTGAATTCTACCCTTCTATTTTCCATTGTTTGTATTTAATTTGAGCATTCAAAAAAGTATTTACCATGCCTATCATTTTATCTTTGTCTGTGGAGTGGCAGCACCTAAAATACAGCTTCCACTGAGTTCCTTTGGTTTAAGGTTTTACTGATAGGCGTCAACTGAGGTTTGTTTCTGCAAAGTGATATGCGTAAATGCAACAAGAACAAGGAGGAACTTAAAGACAGGATTGACTAAGTGAAAGAAGATGGAAGAGTTACAGAGGTTATTAAAGACACAGAGATTGAGTGACTTGTCCGGAATGATGAAGCAATGAAGCATAAGTGGAAAACTGGTCAAGATTTATTGACTCCCAATCCAG